AAATTGCAATGTTTCACTGTGATCCAGAGCTCATAATGGTTATGCATATTTGTCTCTTTGGGATGCCTGAGCCCCATCTTTCTTGTAATAAGTCAATTTTACATCATATGCTTTATTTGATTTATCATGACTTGCTCTTTCAAGTGAAAGGTGCCTTGAGAACATGGGTAGAATAAATATTCTTCTTTGGATAGGGACAAAGATTTCCCAGGCCAGAAATCAGCCCTCCCCAGGAGTCTTTCTGATAACTGGAAATGCACTTTCTGGGATAATCACATACTAGCATATTTCACTGGCTAACATCTCAGCACAGATGAGGTTTTCAGAATAGCAATAACTGGAAAAAGAGCTGCTTCATAACGAGACCACGAGAGCTTTGTCTTAAAGACAGAGGGCCAGGGATTAACTGTGGTTTTGGCTGACTCTGAGAGAAGATGAGCTCTGCAGGAAATGAGCTCAGTAGCTTTTTATAAAGAAGCAGGGATTGATGGCTGGGGCTGTGCCTCCTGGACTTAGGTTGGCAGAGAATCAGTGAATCAGCTGGACCTCAGTTTCTTTATCTGTAAAAGAATGGATGTTGCATCTGCCTTGTAGCATTTTGTATGGTAACTAAGTTGCAAGGAAGCGAAAGCAGTAATTGGTAACTAGTGCCCGAATATCGTCATCATTCTGCTTATTATCATCCACATCTGCATCTAAGACAGAAAGACACTGTACAGCAAGAATTTTAATGTGGGTATAAAACTGAGAAAGATTTGGCAACCAAAAACAAAAATGACAATGGTCGAAGAGAAATAAGAGCTTAAGTAATGGGAAATCTACCCTGTCAAAAACTAGATTTAACTTTTACTTAAAACACTTCTATACTGGTGGTTGGGAAACCTGAGGAGTCAGCCCTGTGTTACCAGAGTTTGATGAATAACAATAGCCTTATTTTGTCAATCTGATTATCTATTAAATGTCATCCTGTATCCTAGAATTGTTATAAGGATTTAACAATTTAATAAATAGTAAGTACTCTGACACTTCTAACACACAGTGAAAATAATTACAATAACATATTTATTAGTAGTCTAATTTTTAAAGAACCTGGTAATTTTTACAAACTCTTTCCCATACAAATAAATTTATCATTTGGAATATCGATATAAAATAATGTCATAATTCCTCAACATGAAACAGACAAGTCCTCAGTTAAATGTCATGTCGAAGGCCATGGAGGTAATGAGCTTGCATTCCAATGTACACAGTCTGTCCCCAAAGCCTAGCCTTTATACCTTCTCTAATTTGCTTATAAGGGATGAACTCACTGTTTGGTTCAAAGCAAAATATGTGCTGAGCTGAAATACTGTAGTGCTACATGTCAGCCAAAACAACGGAGATTCAACTCTGAACATGAACAACAGTATCCGTACAGTTGCCCTGTAGGTTCCCTTTTGTACTTTGGAAGAAGAACAAACAACTACCACGTCAGATGATAGAAGGGGAAGGGAGTAAAATAGCACAGACTCTTCATTATGCGTTTCAGGATTCAACCAGCCACAGACAAAAAATGTGCAGGGAAAACTTTGTGTCTGTACTAAATATGCAGCAAGCTTTTCTTTTCTTTATCCCTGCAGCAACAATGTGACAATTATTTTCAGAGTGCTTCATTGTATTCGATGTTATAAACATTTGAGAGATGACTTAAAGTGCAGAGGAGATTATATAGATTATATATAAATACTGTCATGATTATATAACAGGCTTGTGTTCCCACAAACTTAGGTACCACCAGAAAGATTGAACCCTGCTATTCCAGGTGATCTCAGTTCACCTAGTAACCAGCCTTTAGATGACACTTCATTATCCAAAAATTCTCAACACTTATCTGTAAAAATAGAGATTCAAGCTGTGATTGAAGTTTTAATGTGTCTTTTATAGAACTACTTGGAGACAGTCATGGGAATTGCAGATTGTTAGTGAATTAAATTTTTTTTTTCTGGTTTTCTAATGTATGTAGCTGTCAAGTGAGACTAGCCTGTAATTTATCAAAGCTCCAGATAATGTTTCCAATATAATAGATTTACCTTCTCAATAAGAAAGGTCAGTGTCCTTGCATTCTAACAACATCTGAAAGTATCCATCTAATTAGACCTTTAAAAATCTATGAGAATAATGCATGCTACCTACCTGTCATCTGAGTTTTGGTTGTTGAACTTTCCCACAAATAAAGAAACGATTATACATTTACTCAGAAAACAAAAACACAAAATGTTGAATCCATTATTTGGAAGCAGCAGAAGAAACCAAGGAATTTAGCAGTTTTTCAGTGTGTCTCCTGGTATCTACACAGGCAGGAAAGTATTCACCTATAACTTGACTCAAGAACTTGGCACAAGTTAGCTAACTTCATTTCAAGGACTACAAAAGCCAGGAATTTAAGTTCATGTTTGCTATATAGTTGTGATAGACTCATGTACAAACAAGACTTTCTTGTTTGTTTGTTTTTAATGTATGTAACACATACATTTATATCTAATACATGTATTAACATACAAATGATATAAAATTGAAATTAATAAATAAAATTGTCTATTTTTAAATAATTGTTATCAATAGCTAAAATAATTTTGCCCTCATTTATGTTAATATTCCTTTTTATAGTTTCTTATATTTTTTATTTATTCATCTTTCATATATTACATCACAGCTGCAGTTCCCCCTCTTTCCTCTCCTTCCAGTCCCTCCTGCCTATCCAGTCCTCCTCAGTTTCCCTTCAGAAAAGGGCAGGTCTCCCAGGAATATCAACAAAACATGCCATATCAAGTTGTACTAAGGCTAGGCACCTCCTCTCATATTAAGGCTGCTCCTTAGAGTTCAGAAGATGGTAACTGAGTTCGAGTCATCAGACACTGGGCTACAAGATTTGGAGCTACACGGGTGGACTTCAGTTTTACTTAAGTGCCTTTGTTTTTATGTCTTGGTTCTTCTCTTTTGGAGTATGAAAGTATTTAACTTGTTTTGGATTTTACAAAGGCCCACAGATAAAAGAGAGAATTCAGATATTTCTGAGAGATTTTGAACTTTTAAACCATCTAAAATTTTAAAGTATTGGAAGCTTTTAAAGTTGCAGTGTTTTCTGTATTGTGATTTTAACACAGTATATTGGAAATAAACAAAAGAAAAGCTGCATTTTAATAGCGATGTGCTCTGTGTCAAGTTTACAAGGAATGGATTGTATTGGTCAGTTTTTTATCAACTTGATACAAACTAAAGTCACTTGAGAAGACAGAACCTCTACTGAGAATTACTTCCATCAAAATAGCCCATGGGCATGTCTTTGGGGAATTTTCTTGATTAATGATTGATTTGGAAAGTTCCAGCCCATTGTAGGATGTTTTACCCTGGGGGAGGTGGTACTAGGTTGTATAAGAAAGGTAGTTTAGCAAGCCACAAAAAGCAGGCCAGTAAATAATGTTCCTCTGTGGTTTCTGCTTCAGTTTCTGCCTATGGGTTCCTGTCTTAAGTTCTTGTCTTGGCTTTCCTCAATGATGGATTGTAATAGGGAAGCATAAACCAAATAAACCCTTCCCTAATCAAATTGCTTTTGACTGTGATGTTTTTCACAGCCACAGAAACTAAACTACAACACCAGTAAACTACATCATCTTATCTAAGATATGCAAAAACTGGTCTTAAGAGACCCTTTTGAAAATATTATACATAGCATCCCAGTTTATGCTTATTGTTTACTCTAATTCTGTAGCCCTTTAAGGATTGTGTCTTTCTTCTTTATATAAATCAGTGCTTCATAAGGACTGATTGTTAGGCAACACTTTCCTTACCATTGGTTTTGTATCCAAGAAGATATATTTCTAAGTTCAAATTGAGTGTTTAAAACCACTGAAATGGGCCGGGCGGTGGTGGCGCACGCCTTTAATCCCAGCACTCGGGAGGCAGAGCCAGGCGGATCTCTGTGAGTTCGAGGCCAGCCTGGACTACCAAGTGAGTTCCAGGAAAGGCGCAAAGCTACACAGAGAAACCCTGTCTCGAAAAACAAAAAAAAACAAAAAAACAAAAAAAAAAAAAAAAAAAAAAAAAAAAAACCACTGAAATGTCTCTGAGCTGAGATGGGGCTTCTATGGGTTTATTACCCTCCTCTCACAATGTATAGACTAGTTTAAAAGACTGCCTAGCTGTGCTACAGAACCTTCTAGATTTCTCCAATTGCATCTGGTTGTCATTTAACTTGTTCTTCTACCTTTTATGTGTGCTACAAATGGAAAGGTAAATTCAAAGACTTGACTCTGTCAAGTTATATGTTTAGAAGGCTTCCCAAGAGGTCCTAAATGCCTCATTTACATCACACCAGGAGGCACACAAAGTGGCATAAGGTCACTATGTGATGCTGAGATTAATCTCAGTTAAGCTGCTGACAGAGCTCTCCGCTGAAGCTAGCTTACATCCTTCATGACTAGCAAGTCATCTATGAACTGATAACCTTGTATAATATTTAATTTTATGAGAAACTTCAAATAATGATGATAGTACTATTTGATAATGACTTTCTGAGCTGATTATTATACTAGGGTTTATTAAATGGCCATAATTAAATTCAATCTTTTTTTAGAATTTGTATAAAGGATATTTATTCAAGAAATGTATGTCTTGCTACCTTGAAATGAAAGTGTATTGTGAAACCACCTTATCTTTACTTAGTTTATATTTTCCATGTGTTTATTATATAAATTAATGGGATTCATTATATTTTATATACAAATACATCATCTATTGATCATATTCACCCATATTTAAATTTTTGTCATTTTCCCATCTCCACTTTTACCCCTGCTCTGGATGCTACTCAGTCCCTAGAAGTTCCTGTTAATTTCTCTGTTCTTCTTAGCTTTACCATTCTCCATCTCTAAGTATTCCATGCCATACTTATAAATGTTGCCTTATTAATTTCATATATGAATGAAAAACATGTTACCTTTCTTTGTCTAACTTGTTTCACTGAATGTTCTCCCACTCCATCCACAGAGGTAAAGTTAATATTCATTTCTCTCCTTTAAGTTATCAGATTTTCTATGCCCCTGTCAACTGGGATGGAGTCAGAGGACGTTCCAGAGACAACGGTAAGTGCCTCCTCCAGTGCATTAGTAGTGAAGCCTGCACTAGGAGCCACAGCAACCACATATGAAAAGTAGGGACATCCCCCCTGGGTGTCAGTGGAAACTGAAGAGGGAACGCAGCCTTCTCTGCTCAGATGGCAGCAGTATCCCTTCATTCTGGAGGGCAAAGGAAAGCCATCTAAAGCAGAGGGTTTAAGTTGGATTCAGAGACAACGGAATATGTGAATGTTTAAGGACCATAAAGATTCACTCAGTATGTCAAGATAGAAAATACCTTGACCTGAAACAAAGAATTAATAAACACCAGCACCAATACAAAAGAGATGGTTAAAGTAAGTAATGAATCTTTTATAGCAGTTCTAGTCATACTTTATCAAAAAACTACAAGGGCTGAGGAGATGGTTCAGGTGGGAGAGTAGGAGGCAGTGTATTCAGTCCCTAAAACTTACAAAAGCTGGGCCCAGTGTATTCTTAATCCCTGTACTTGAGAAGCAGAGAAAAGAGGATCCCTGGGGCTCGTCCAGCCAGTCAAACCAAATTAGAGAGGCCCAAGTTCAATGAAAATCCCCATCTCAGCAAAAAAAATAGATTTCAAGAAATTGATGAAGATACCAAGTGTCTAGCTTTGGCCTCAACATAACGTGCACACAATGTATACTTTCACCCATATGTACAGAGAGAGAGAGAGAGAGAGAGAGAGAGAGAGAGAGAGAGAGAGAGAGAGAGAGAGAGAGATACAAGCATACTTAGTTCATTAAAAATAAAGTCTTAGGAGGCTGGAGAGTTGACTCAACAGTTAAGATCACTTGTTCTTGTGGACAACCCAGATTCAATTCCTAGCACCTGTCTGACAGCTCCCTACCATCTGTAACTCCAGTTCTGGTGAATCCAATGACCTGGGTTAGCACCAGTCCTGCACATGGTGCAAAACATACATGTACACAAAACACTGGTACACTTAATACAATAACTAACTAAAATCAAGATAAAGTCTTAGCAAATATATAAAAGGTAAAGACAACTTAAAACTTAAAAGCATATAGTAAGTAAAAGAAAAAGGTCAACAGACAGTGGACAGAATCTGAAAACTCAAAAACAGAGCAGCAGAAATTATCTAATTAAACAGAAGGAAAACATAATGTTTATACATGAAGAAACTCGGGGATTACTAGGCTTTATGTTACATACAAAGCTAGGGAAAATGTTACCAAAGCCTTCACCTTTGTGCTCTCAGAGTTCCAGAAAGACAGAATGAGGTTTTGAAAGTATTGAAAATAATTTTCCCCTAAAACTTCCAAATTAGCCAACAGTTAGAAACTCATAGATTCAAAACTCTTTGTAAATCCCTAAGAAAAATGAATCAAAGAGATCAACATCAAGACAGGAAACAATTAATCTCCTTAAAAGTGAAGACAAAGAAAATCCTTAAAGTCACTGAAAATATGATCCTTTACGTAAAGGTAAAATTATTTAATTGGTAATGGATATTCATAGTATTTTTCAAATGTAGAAAACAAAGCAGAACAAAAATATATCACTCAGCAATGATGGTGAAATCAAGACATTCTCAGCTGAAGAACCAGGAAAACATCATTGCCCAATTTGCCCTTAAAAATAAACAATTAAAGGAAGGTACTCAACACAAAGGGAACTATTTAAAAAAAGACTGGAAAACCAGGAAAGAAACAAGATCACTGGAAATAAAATTTTCAGTGATTACAGCAGGCTTTCCTTCTGAGTTTCTGAAACGTGCTTAATTGTCACTGTATAAATACAGTATTATTCCCTACGGTTCCAAGGGTTTTTAGGGGAAATAATTACAGCAGTTATAAACGGGAGAAGACAGAAAGATATGAGGGGATTAGAGGTTTCTATATTTCAGTTGAACTGGTAAAATGATGCTGGCTGGCTTGTTATAAATCATGTGGCAATAATCATTCCTAAGGCATTTGCTGACAGCACTACATAAAGATGCACGCTTACTAGTGAAGTAGAAAAATAAGAATTTAAGTCTAAGGAAAAGTGATATCATTTATTTTTTTAAAAAAAGGGAAGAAATAGTCCTTGCTTCCATCACAAGCTATGCAAAAATGAAGGGAGGGGCAGAAATGTGGTGGTTTGAATAAGAATGGTTCTCATAGGCTTATATATGGGCATGCTTAGTCATCAGGGAGTGGCACTACAAGAGAGGGATTAGGAGGAATAGCCTTGATGAAGGATGTATGGCCTTGTTGGAGGAAGTGTGTGACTGGGAGTAGGCTTTTAGGTTTCAAAAGCCCATGCCAGGCCCAGTGTCTCCTTCTTATCTGCTACCCGCAGATTGGATATAGAACTCTCAGCGACTTCTTCAGCACCATGTCTGCCTGTGTACAACCTTGCTTCCTGCCACAGTGATCATGGACTAAACCTCTGAAACTAAGTAAGCTCCAATTAAATGCTTTCTTTAGTAAGAGTTGCCACATGGTCATGGTGTCTTTTCATAGCAATAGAAGACTGAGTAAAGCAGAGGTCAAACAAACAAAACCAGAGCTAGAAGTGGAAAATAAAACAGAAAACACAAAACCTTAACATACTGATGATTACATAATAGATGAAGGCTCTAAATATACCAATTAGCATGTAAAGATAAACAGAATAAGTTATAAAATTTGTCTGAACTCTGATTTTTTTTCAAGTTACTGTATTTAATATAACAATTGAAATAGGTGAAAAGGAAAGAACAGCAGAGGACATGAGGGAGACATCACCTAGGAGTAGGTAGGCGTAATCACGATACGTCAGATAAAATAGATTTTAGAGGGGAACATGTTTAACAAGGAAACTAAAAGACAGAATGAAAACAAGGCTGACATACAAATAAGCTATAAAAACCCTGAAATGTGTATGTACCAAGCCAAAAAGAAAGAAAAAGAGAGAGGGGGGAGGGAGAGAGAGAGAGGGAGGGAGGGAGGGAGGGAGGGAGGGAGGGAGGGAGGAAATAAAGAAGGAAGGAAGCCAAAGAAATGAAAAGAAAAACAGTAAGCTTTAGAAATTCTAAGTATTGCTAAGTGGAATGGCCAGAGTGCCTGAGAATAGGAAGGTTAAAACTAACCACCATGAAGAACTTGCATGGTAGATTGGCATTGACTCCTGAAATCCACAGTTTTCGTTTATGGGTTGTTTGTTTTCATTTTCTGAGAGGGGAAGGGTAACTGTCTAACCCTCTTCATATGCTAACCCGAACAAGTCAGAGGAACTCTGGAGACACACGGAGGGCACAGTTAAGGGTGCTACAGACAACAATGAGAGGTTCGGGTTCAAGGTCAAACTGGAGAAATTTTACCTAGTTTATTATTACATTGCAGACTCCAGACGCTAGGGAAGTTTCCAAGGGAAGAACATGCTCTTTCCTCACCTTCTTAGTTCCTTAAATTTTCAAATAAGATTTTCAAATAAGAAGTAATGCATTTATAAGGCGTAAGTATTTCTGCCAACTAGAACAAAATAAAACAGAATTACTTCATCCTGGAATCAACAGGAAAAAATAGACAATCACTGGGAGCAATAAAAAACAAATCACAGGAAAATTATTTGGTAGCAGTGTATTAAACAGGGTCACCTACAATCAGGATGGTCATATCTGCTGTGGGGCATGCAGACCGGGAATGAGGCACATTTTTAAGGTTTATAAAAAGTAGAATAGATTAAATTGACAGAAAGCAGCATTCAGTGATGGCTGCACATGGGAACTAGAGTGACACGCTGCCTCCACGGCTTTTATTTAGGATAAAGGACATGGGGGAACTAGTATTAAAGGGTAATTTCCTTATGGTTTCCTTGATGAATGTAGGAAAATCCAGGCTGACATGAAAGCATATTGTTTGTGATCAGTAAGGGGATTAGTAATGGTCTAAAGGCTAAATGTTCAGAAGTTTGAGAAGTGTAGGCAATAATGGCTACCTGGTAATTGGCTTTCTTGGAGTAATAAAAGACAAAGAATGCTATCCACAGCACAGATGTTTGCTTGAAACTTTAAGAAATTGTAGAAGATGTAAAAATCAGCTTCCATTGTATAAAATTTGTCCATAAGAAAGCAGAATATAATATATGCTGCGTACAGCAGCCACACAAATGCATAGAAAGTGAAACCAAGCTTGATGGTAATTATGAATGTCCTTTTAGAAAGGATGTGACTTGGGTAGACAGCTTAGACTCAGCTCTGTGGCATCAAATTGACCCCCCACTTCTCAGTGAACAGAAGCAGCACTCCCATGTCTCTCTTGTGGTCCAAGATGCTGGGGTGCTACCCAGAGCATTCTTTTCTGAAGGTCCATACTTCAAGAGTCAACAATGTGGATACATTTCCACCAGCACAAAAGGAAAACAGAGAGTATGTCAGAAACCACATGTCTTACAGTTGCTTCTTTGGTGTGACAATGCTACTTCTGATCAGAAAGCCAAATGGCTGTCTGCTGTCAGTGGAGCAGTGGTAAGCAAATAAGTCATGGAACTTAAGCAGTTATCTTCCACACTCAAGTCATCTTTGAATGGTTTTGATAAACATTATGACTGAAAAAGTGATTTAAGTAGAAAAGACTCCATATATAAACACACACAAAAAAATACAAATTAGACAATCATTTGCTAAATACATAACACAAATTGTCACTTCTTAGTGACCAAACCTACTTTTATCCTCATTGTTTAAGTGTTTATTTTTATTAACATTTATTTATTTCCTTGATGAGGGGTTAAGACTACACTTATAGAGGTATAAATACAAATATTTAAAATATTATGTCATTATGCTAATTTATTAGAGTAGAAGTTGTAGGTTCTCCTCCGAGATCTATTAATGCACAAGGCCTGAGTAATTGGCTAGGTTTCCAGTATCAGGCATGATTTCTCTCCTCTAGAGTAGGTCATAAGTCTACTTAGAGAGTTCTTGGTTACCACAAAGTGTGTGTACCAGTGTTGTACCCTTAGGGTTATTGTGCTGTGCTAGTCATTGTTGTAATTAACAG